CGGGCTTCGCGGGTCCCCATACCGCGCCCGGCCTAGCAGCGCCGGGGCGGCCTGTCCAGGGCGGCGGGCCCTCAGGAGGGAACGTGGAGTCCGCGGCCCGCGGATCCTGAGACCCTTTCATGTCTTCCCTCCCCGAATGTGGGCTGGCGCCGCTCCCCATCAGCCTCCCTCCCTCAGGTGTGGGAGGAGCTGGCCTCAGACAAGGCCCCGTCGGGCCTTGCGGCCCCGCCGAGGCCTCTGGAGTGTCGCTTAATACATTAAAACAACAGAGACAAGAACTCACAGCAGTTTTGTGACCCGAGCCCGGCCCAATTCTGGAATCCGTAGGCCCCGGAGCTGTGAGGCGGTCGCAGCACTTAAAAATCGGTTTACTGGCCCCTCTCCCTCGCCACTGCGCCGTCTGTTTTCCTGGTTCCTGTGCGTCTTCCCCCGCCCACCCCGACCGAGCCCCCCAGGCGCGCGGTGTCCGGGCTCTGGGTGTGGGCAGTGAGCATAGGGGGTGGTTATTTACTGAGAGAGGGAAGGTTGGAGGAACAGGTTTTGGGGAGAGGAATCCAAGGAGGCTTCATAGCTTGAAGTCTACTCTGGTCGAGCGTGCGATGCTTGATAAACATCCCGGTGGCGGAATAGGTAGGCGGCGGGGTATAAAATATTCCCGGGACGCGTGACTCACCTGCTCCTCCTCTCTGGTTGCCCCTAAGGTGTGGCCTGCTGCCTGGAAAGTGTCAGGTGCTCAGAAGTTCTCCAGCGCGCGCCTGAGGTAAGGCGAGAGCCGTCTTTATAATAAGGACCAACGTTGTGTCTTTTGTCCCTTCGGTTTTTCTCTTGTGCTCTCCTGGGCCAAGACCTGGCTGTTAAGACAGTGTTCTCCCGAGTGGGTATGATGAATTCAGGCCAGCCATGGATTTATAATTCTGGAGCCTTCTAAACTGCGTCCTTAAAAAGGGGGGAGGGGGGAATGGTGGTGGTATTTTTTCACCCACTGTCTTGAAAGGAAAAAAAAAGTAAGAGCGTAAGAGTGCCTTAGATTTTAAGCTGTGCAAAGGTGACTTTTTACCCGGTTGTGCGGCTAAAAGGGATTGATAGACACATCTTAACTTTTCACCTAATGTATTAAAATAATACGGTGGTTCACTTAGGGTAGGTGTGTTTTGGTTAAACGTGATTACGTGGGATTAGTTTGTTCTGTTCTGTTCTTCTAAATGGAGGTACTGGGGATTGAACCCAGGATCTGGTGCTTGCTAAGCAGGTGCTCCATCACTGTGCTGTACCCTGACCCAGTTTGTTCATTTCTTTACCCTTTTCCTTAAGAGCCTTATTTCATGAAGTAATTGAATGTGACTGGATAGGGGAGGCCATCTGAATTCATTTCATGCTAGTAGGCACGATTGTGGGTAGCTCTGTGCCCAGCAACTTTTGATCGCAGCTCATAGCATAGTTACTTATCTGTTACTGTGTAACACGGCGTCTCAAAACTTCATAGCTTGAAAAAAACAAATGTTTATTATCTCGTGGTCTAGAATCCAGGAGTGGCTTAGCCGGGTGGTTTTGCCTCAGGGCCTCTCCTGAGGCTGTAGTCAGGCTTTTCGCCTGGATCCTCAGTCTCTGAAGACTTGACTTTAGTTGGATGATCAGTATCTAAACTCACTCCCTTGTCTCTTACTAAGGGGCCTCAGTTTCTCACTCTGTGGGCCTCTCCATGGGGCTGCTCATGTCATGGCAGCTGGCTCCCCCTACCCCTGTCACCCCTAAGCGAGTCATTCTGGGGAGAACCTGCACCCAAGATGAAGTGCAGAGTGTTCTTCAGAAGTTACATACCATCACTTGTGCTGTGGTCAGCAGAAGTGGTCAGTTGTGATAGTGCTGGGGAGGGAACACAGAAGAGTGTGAGTACCAGGAGGCGGGATTCTTTTGGGGACATCTTGGAGGCTGGCTACCATACCCATGTGTCCACCATTCCACCCCTTCTTATGATCTGAGGTCTGTTACTATGAGTGAATTATTTGAATTTAAACTAAAGCCAGAACTGCTCCTTGTGTACTGGATCCAATTAGTTCTTGTTTGTTCAAGGACATTCTAGCAGATCTCTTAGTCCTGGGTTAACTTTTCTGTTTCTCCTGATTGTTCCTATCAGCAAACAGACTTATTGTGATGTCACCTCTCATTAAAAATCCATCTTTTGGTGGCATATCCCCTCTCTGCTTTTTTGATATTTGCTTGTTGTTACAGGAAAGTGTCTCCAGAGTTGGCCATATTTGCTATTTTAAATTCTCCTGTTTTCCTTTAAATCCACTCTTGTCAAGGTCACCGATAAATTCCACAGTTTTTAACTCAGTAGTCGGTTTTTAGTTTTTATTGTATTTGATCAATTGGCAGCATTTATCAGAGTAGTTCATTTCCTCTTTGGATAGTCACATTGTTTTGAAATAGATCTCTAGACCTTTTCATCTTACAAAACTGAAACTCAATACCCATCCCATTAAACAACAAACTCCTCTTTTCTCTCTCCCTCTAGGCCCTAGTATCCACCATTCTGCTTCCTTTTTTTTCTTTCTTTTTTTTCCCCTTTCTTTCTTTTCTATTGCTTTAACTACTTTAGATATGTCGTATAAGTGGAATCATACGGTATTTGTCTTTTTTATGACTGGCTTATTTCATTTGCATTATGTCTTCAAGGATCATGCATGTTGTAGCATGTGGCAGCATTTCCTTTTTTATGGCTAAATAACATTCTGTTGTACGTATATATTACATTTTAAAAAATCATTCATCAGTTGATGGATGTTTAGATTGCTTCCAATTCTTGATTATTGAAATAGTGCTGCTGTGAGCATGGATGTGTAAATATCTCTTTAAGGCCCCACTTTCATTTCTTTGGGATTTATATCTAGAAGTGTAATTGCTGGATCATATGGCTCTGTTCTTAATTTTTTAAGGAGCCTCTATACTCTTTTCCATAGTAGTTGATCCATTTTACAATCCATCTGTAGCATACAAAGATCCACTTTCTGCACATGCTTGCCAACAGTTGTTCTTTTCTTTTTCTTTCTCTCTTTTTTTTTTTTTGACAATACTCATCCTAATGGGAGTTAGGTGATCTATTATTGTGGTTTAGATTCACATTTCTCTGATGATTAGTATGTTGAACATCTATTCATATGCTTGCTGGTCATTTTATATCATGTTTAGATAAATATCTATTCATGTCCTTTGCCCATTTTGTTTTTGAGTTTGTCTTTTTATTCTGTTATAACAGATCTTTATATATTCCTTTACATATATGTTATTATTTATGATACATGTGTTGTCCCTTAAAACATATATATGTATCATATACCTATGTGTTCCTAGTCACATATGATTTTAAAATGTTTTTCTTTCATTCTGTGGGTTATCTTTTTTACTTTCATGATGGTGACCTTTGAAGGACAAAAATTCTTGATTTGAAAAATTTTTGTAATTTTTTCCTTTGTCTTTTTTTTTTTGGTGTCTTCTCTAAGAAACCATTTACTCCAATTTTCTTTAAATAATTTTTTTAGTTTTAACTCTTATGTTTAGTTCCACAATGATTTCGAGGTTTTCTTTATATATGATGTGAGCAGGGATCCAACTTCATTCTTTTGCTTGTGGATCTCCAGTTGTTCAATCAGCATTTGTTGAAAAGACTTCTCTGTTCCCCACAGATTGTTTTGATCATCTTGCTGAAAATCAGTTCACCATTAATGCATGGATTTCTTTCTGGACTCTGAATTCTGTCCCATTGCTCTGTTTCCATCCTTATGCCAGTACCACATTACTTGATTATTGTAGCTTTGTAGTAAGTTTTGAAATCAGAAAAGTATGAACGTTTCAGTTTTCTTTTTCAAGAATGTTTTGGCTCTTCTGTGTTCCTTGCCTTTCCATTTGGGTTTCAATTCTGTGAGAAGGCTAGCTGAGATTTTGACAGATCAATTGTGAGAGTCATGCCATTTTAACAGTACTGAATCTTCTGACGCATGAGTGTGCAATGTCCTTAGATTTATTTAAGTCTTCTTTAATTGCTTTAACAGTGTATTCAGTATAATGCAGTGTTTTCAGTATTAAAAAGTCTTGCATTTCTTTTGCTAACTGTATTCCTGTATTCTTTTCAGTGTTAATGTAAATGTAAGTGTTTACTTAATTTCATTTTCAGAACATTTATTAGCACTGTATAGAAATGTAATTGATTTTTTTGCATTGATTGTGTATTCTGCAACCTTGTTATTAGTTCTAGTACTTGTTTTATTGATCCTTCAGCATTTTACATATACAAAATCACGTCATGTCCAATATAGTTTTACTCCTTTCTTTTCATTCCAAATGCTCCTTTCTTTTTTAAACTGCTTTTTTCTTGCCTGATTGCACTGATTATAGAACTTCCAGTATAATATTGAATCAGAGTGGTAGAAGTAGACATCCCTGTCTTGTACCTAGTCTTAGAGGAAAAGCTTCCAGTCTTTCAAGATAAGTGTGATGCTAGCTGTGAGTCTTTTACAAATACGCTTTGTTTGATTAAGAAAGTTTCCTTCTGGAGGGGTGGGAGTATAGCTCAGTGGTTAAGTGCATGCTTAGCATGTGTGAGGTCCCGGGTTCAATACCTAGCACCTCTATTAAATTAAAAAAAAGAAGGAAAGAAAAAAAATTTTTTTCCTTCTGTTCCTAATTGTTAAGTGTTTTTCCCCACAGTCTTGAAAAGGTATTACATTTAGTCAAATGCTTTTTCTGCAGGCAGGTATGTTTTTTGTCCTTTATTATATTAAAGTGTATAATATTTATTGATATTTGTAGAATGAACTAACTTTCCATACCTCCATAAATCTCACCTGGTCATGGTGTATAATTTTTTTAATACGTTGTTAGATTTTGTTTGTTAGTATTTTGTTGAGGAATCTGGCCTCTATATTCATAAGGGATATTGGTCTATAGTTTTGTGTGTATGTGATGTCTTTGTCTGATTTTGGTATCAGAGTAGTACTGGCCTAATAGAATGAGCTGGAACATTTTCTCTCCTCTTCTAGTTTTTGGAAGAGTTGATAAAGGGCTGGCGTTAATTTTTCTTTAATCATTTTGATAGAATTAACCAGGGTAGTCATCTGATCTTGGGTTTCCCTTTTGGAAATTTTTTTGATTACTAATTCAGTGTCTTTACTTGTTTTGGATCTATTCATATTCTGTTTTTGTTTTTGTTTCCTTGAGTCAATTTGATAGTTTGTGTCTTTCTAGGAATTTGTCCATTTCATCTAGGTTATCTAATTTGTTGGAGTAGAATTGTTCATAGTATTTCCTTAATTGTTTTTTGTATTACCTTTCTGTGTGGTTGGTAGTAATATATTTTATTTTGAAAAATAATATATTGAGGTGAAGCTTACATAAATCAATAATTTTTAAGTGAACAATTCAGTGGCATTTGAAATGTTCACGATGTTTCATATCTGCCTCTGTCTAGTTCCAAAACATCCCCATCATTTCAGGGTTAAACTCTTTACCTATTAAGCAGTTTCTCTCCATTTCCCCTCTTCCTTACGCTGGCAACCACTAGTCTATGCCTAGATTCTGTAGATTTATCTACTCTGGATATTTCCTGTAGATGAAATCATACAATGTGTGACCTTCTCTGTCTTGCTTCTTTAGCTCACTTTGCGTGTTTTCAGGGTTTATCCAGGTGGTAGCATATATCAATATTTCATTGCTTTTTTACTTGAATGTAAATTTAAAACTTTTTTATTGAGGTGCAATGATTCAGTATTTGTATGTGTTGTGAAAAGATCCCCACAATAAGTATAGTTAACATCTATCACCATATGTAGTTACATTTTTTATTTTTTGCATGTGATGAGAGGTTTTAAGATGTACTCTTGGTGATTTTCAAATATGTGATACAGTATTATTATAGTCACCATGTTGTGCATGACATCTCCATGATTTATTTATTTTATAGCTGGAACTTTGGACCTTTTGATCCCCTTCACTGATTTTGCCCACTTCCCCAATCCCCTGCCTGTGGCAGCCACCAGTCTGTTCTCCCTATGAGCTTGTTTTTTTATTTGTTTGTTTGTTTGTTTAAGTTCCACATGTAAGTGAGATCATACAGTATTTGTCTTTCTCTTCCTTATTTCACTTAGCATAATGCCCTCAGGGTGTGTTCATGTTGTTGCAAATGGCAAGATTTCATTCTTTCTTAAGGCTGAATAAAATAGTCCATCGTGTATATATACCACATTTTCTTTACCCATTCATCTATCATTGGTCACTTAGGTTGTTTCCATTTCTTGGCTGTTGTAAATAGAGCTGCAGTCCTGCAGTGAACATGGGAGTGCCTTCATACCTTTTATGGTTGGATAATGTTCTGTTGTGTGTGTATACCAGTTTATCCTTGCATCCATTGATGGGCATTTGTGTTATTTTCACCTTTCGGTTATTGTGAATAGTGCTGCCATAAACATGCATGCACATTACACATACTTACTTGAGTACCTGTTTTCAGTTCTTCTGGGTATATACATAGAAGTGGACTTATGTGGTCATGTGATAATTCTGTGTTTAACTTTTTAAGGACTTGCCAAACTGTTTTCCACAAAAATCTTGATTTTTACAAGCCTTTGATTAATTTTCAGGATCTAAAAAACTTGATTTTGACAATTTTTGCTGGTGTTTTCTTTGTTTTTATGAAGGAATGGATATTGTAGTTTCCTTATTCCATTATTTCCTCTAACAGCACCTTGTTGCTGGCATTTAACAAATTGACATTGTCATGGTTTTTGGTTTTTTTAGTTGTCTTTTTTTGTAGTCCTCCACAACCTCTCTTTAAATCATTCACCAGTCACCTGATACTTCTAAACCCTTTTCAAATTCTCAGTGTTAGGGAGAGAACTTGCCTCTGAATTAATGGGCCACTTTTAGGTTGAACTCCCACCCTACTCATATCTCCTTTGTGGATTCTTCTGACTAAAATGCTGCTCTGCTCTCGGGAGGAAAGGAAGGAAAAGGGAAAGTGGCTGAATTTCTCTCTGACCTGGGAGAAGATCCCATGTAGTACTCTAGCCACACTGTTCTGAGAAAAGGCTTCCACAAACTATTGGTCCCCGTGATGAGACCTGGCCACAGTCATCCTCCTGAATCCCAGGATTGCAGGGCTCTCACATTCGCTATAACAGTACACCTCAGTAGCCCTCCGGACTTGAAGAAAATTGATTATTTCGCAAGTATGAGCATTTCCTACCATTTTCCTCACCCTACCTTCATTTGCTGAATTATTTTTATCTCCTTCTGGATAATTATTTTCCTTTAATGAATATTTGAGTGCTTATTGTATGCCAGGAGTGTGCTTGGCACTTGGGAGAAATCAGACAAAACAGTAAACAAAACAGACATAAACAAACTGAAAAACAGAACAGAACTTCTTCTGTGGAAGAAACTAACATTCAGGGGAGGAAGAAAGTCAATATAATAAATACGTCATTCTTTTGTGAAATACAAGGTGATGTTATGAAATTAGAAAGAATGTCATAGAGCAGGGTCATAGGATTGAATGTTGGATAAGTAGGAGTGTTATAATTTTAGATAAAGTGATCAGAGTGAGTCTCTTGGAATAGGTAGGTTTGGACATGGACTTGAAGGAGATAGAAGTAGCATCTGCAAGACAAGCATTTCAGGTGGAGACTGAAGGGAGCAGCAAAGAAGCTGGACTGGAGTGAATGACTGTTAGACTAGAGACAGAAGAGGTCAGAGAGGCAGTAGCAAGAGTGCAGATTGTGGTGACGTTCTGTAAGTCCTTACCTTTTCTCTCAGTCCATTCTGTACGGATAGTCTTGTTTTTTTTTTTGGACAAAGAACAATCCTGGTTTAATAGTTGTTCCCCTCCTAGACCACACTCCTTTACCTTCTTGAGCTTATTTATGGAAAAAATATTGTTAAAAATATTTATGAAAAAGTCATTTTTGTTTTGCTTAGTTGCCCTGGGATGGAATGCAGATGTTTACGGCAGTGTTAAGGATCCTGTTAAGCTCCAGTTTCCCCTATGGATCTGTGTTTAATGGGCATTAAATTCTAAGGCAGCAAGTGTGTTGGGTTAGTGGAGTAGAGGGAAGGAGGATTGTTGGGGAAGGGACTTGAATGCTCTGGTAGGGAGAAAGTAAGGGGGTTGGGACAAGAATTCAGAGGAGCAGTAGTGGGGTGACAAGAGTCAGGGGCAAGGAAGGATGGTGAGGGTAGGTACTAAGAGGAGTATTAGTGGCATAATCTCAGGAGGTTAACTCAAGAGGGACTGATGCTTGAAAAAGCTGCTGTGTGGCTGTTAGAAAACCCATTTAAAGGGCCATTGTTTAAACACACAAGGATAACCTGGAAGATAGGTCATCACCCACTGTCCTTTCAGCTTTCTTTGGAGTGAAACCTCATTGGCTCCTCCCACAGCCCTTGGCACTTCCTAGGTGGGACATATGAGTGATTTTTGAGGACTCATCCCTTAGATCTAGTAGGTCTTGACATGTCCAACCTCCCCACTCTGATATCTCAAGATTCTGGTAAATGGTAGAAAATAAGGATACTAGCAGATAAGTGATAAGAAAATTCCTGTGGTCTGTTGTTCTAGATGAACTCATTCCTTAACTTATTTGCTTTATGTCTGATTCTTTCTGTACTCTTAACTTTTCATCTTGAATGATAGTTTGGATGAAAAGTTAATCAGTATGGTCAACAGCTAAAAATTCTTCTAAGATCAGTTGGGTGAAAATCCAGCAATGTTATTGGAACCTAGTTTATTTTTTTTTAAACAATCGACATTTATTCCCCATACTTTTGAAGGCTGTAAAAGTCCAAGATTAAGGTGGTGGCTGATTTGGTTCCCCAGGCTGGTTATTCCACCTTCCTGCTGTGTCCTCACCTGTGGGAGCTGTGAGAGATGGAGAAGTAGGCTCTGTGATGCCTCTTCTTGGCATGACTCTTTCAGTCATGAGGGCCTTCATGACCTTATCTAAACCTAATTACCCTCAAAGGCCCCGTCTTCTAATACCATCACTTTGGGGGTAGGGGTTCAACATAAGAATTCTGGCACGGACAGAGTTCTCAGAGTAGATTGATGAACACATGAAATTAATGGAGCACTATCTGCTCTACAAATAGAGGTTCTTGTTAATGAGAGTTACTATTTATTAATTCATTTAACAAATTCTGTGTTTGTTGAGCTCCTGTGCTGTGCTAAGCACTTTGTGCTGATGATACAGCAGTCAACAAGACAATTCCTGCCCTTGGAGTTAACATTTTACTGGATAGACAATAGAAAATAATCAAGATAAATGATGTTTATAACATATTAGATGACGTTAAAGACTTGAAGGTGGAAGAGAAGGGAAGAGATATCGGGAATGTGAATTAGAGGTTAGCTGGAATATTTGAGAACTCTCTGAGGAGGAGGCTTGGAATAGAGCCCTGAAGGTTGTGAGAGGCCAGCCATGGAGGTATCTGAATGATGGTCATTCATGTTAGAGGAACAGCAAATACAAGGGCTCTAAGAAGGGTAAAGTGTTTAGTTTTTAAAAAATAGCAAATTGGTAGTGTGGTTAGAATGAAGTAGATGGGGGAGGGGAGTATGAGGTAATAACAGGACAGTATGTAAGGTTAGAAGTGTGGTCTTACAGTCATTGGAAGGATGTGACATTTTACTAAGTGAACCAGAAAGGCATCGGAGGGTTTGAGCTGAGAAGTGGTATAATCTAATTTGTTTGAATAGCATCACTTTGCCTGCCATGTGGAGAAGAGTCAGAGGTGGAGTGAGGGACAAAGCACTGTTGGATTTAAGTTTAGTGGGGAAGTCAGGATGAATTAGAGGGAGAAATTTAGTAGACATCAGTGAATGGATTATAATTAAGTCTTGAGATTATCAAGAGAGTTCATTCTCAATTTGCTAGGCCTGTGCTAAGCACTTGACATGGAGTTACACTGTTTGTTGGCCATATGTAGGTACTTCTACTCTGTTCTTTGAATTTGATGCTTTTTTCTATATTAATATTTATGAAATTAGTTTGCGTGACTTAATTGAGATATGTGCATTTAATATAAATTTTATTCCAATTCTACTGCAAAACATGCCACCATTGAATAGGTGATGCTTTTTAAAAAGAGCTGTTACCTTAAGTCTAAGAAAAAAGAATTTTTGTCTTTAAGATGCAGAAACACATTTAAAAGTTGTAAATTTGCCAAAGAAGATGCAACTGGTGTGTGGCTGACTTAGAACTCCAGCTTAATCTTCTCTGACTCCAAAGCCCATGTTTCTAAACACTACGCAATGGTGCCTTTGTAAAAATATTTGTCCTTTACACATATGATTTTGCCTAGTCATTAGTTGCTGGAGTGTCTTTCTTTTTTTTTTTTTTCCAATAGAAGAGATCTTAATTTGCATATGGCAAAGCTGTGATTCTAGAATTGCATAGACTTGTAATCATGTGTTTTAAGTTTTCATTTATCCTCTTTGACTTTCAGTGTCCTTACCTGTAAAATAAGGATGTTTATAACCTCCCTAGAGTTTTGGAGAAAATTAGATAAGATACTGAATTTTTCTGTAATTAACTGATGTGTAGTGTGTTTGTACTTAGGTGGCAGTTTATATAAAGGAAGCACCGGGACTTGTGGCCACACCTTTCAAGAACAAAAAAAATTTAGAAAATGGAGCCACCATGTATGTTGTGTGAGGAAGAACAAGAGCCAGAACCACAGAAAAGCATAGAAGAAACCAAACCAGTAGATGATGAAGATGCTGAGCTGATCTTTGTTGGGGTGGAGCATGTAAATGAAGATGCTGAGCTGATCTTTGTTGGGATGACTTCAAATTCAAAGCCAGTCGTTTCAAACATATTGAACAGAGTTACCCCAGGTTCATGTTCAAGAAGAAAAAAATACGGTCACTTCAGAAAAGATAATGCTAAGAAATTGCGGCCTGTAAGTCATGTGACACCTACATCAGAAGCAGTGACTGTCTTGCCAGTTTCTGACTCTGAATCAAGATCAACAGATAGTCCTGTTATTATTGAGCCTTTGTCTAAACCTGATTATAAAAATAATTCACCACAAGTCGTGCCTAATAGCTCTTTAGAGTTACATTCTCCTTTGATCGCATGCACAAGTTCATTGCAGCATCCAGTAGGAACAGCACTTTCTGCAGGAGGTATGAATAAAAGTCCTCGAGTATCAGGGCAGCTTTCCACTTCTGAAACAAGTAGCACAAATCCCAAAAGGCCTAAACTCAGTGATGGAATCATAGGGGGACATTCTTTAGCTTTGTCCCCTTCAGGTATCTTTCATACAGTGACTACTCAGCAAAGCACATCCTCAAACAACGTTCATGACTCATTAAGCCATGTTCAGAATGGAGAAGCTTTTCCAAAGGACAGTGACCATTGCAAGCCTGTAAGTCCTTTTAGGGAAAATGGACTGCCAAAAACAGACTTTTTGAGCCTAGCAAGTCAAAACAAGATTGTTGAGCCCACGAAAGGAAATCTGATTGTATTACTTGATGACTTTTACTACGGACAGCACACTGGAGACGGGCAGCCGGAACAGAAGACTCACACGACCTTTAAATGCCCCAGCTGCTTGAAAGTTCTAAAAAATGTCAAGTTTATGAACCACATGAAGCACCATTTAGAACTTGAGAAGCAGAAAGGTGACAGCTGGAAAAACCACACCACCTGCCAGCACTGTCACCGCCAGTTTCCTACTCCCTTCCAGCTGCAGTGTCACATTGAAAGTGTCCACACTGCCCAGGAGCCCTCTGTGGTCTGTAAAATTTGTGAATTGTCCTTCGAAACCGATCAGGTTCTCTTACAGCACATGAAGGACAATCACAAGCCTGGCGAAATGCCCTATGTGTGTCAGGTTTGCAGTTACAGATCGTCAGCCTTTGTGGATGTGGAAGCACATTTCAGAACATGCCATGAAAACACTAAGAATTTGCTTTGCCCTTTTTGTCTCAAAATTTTCAAAACTGCAACACCATACATGTGTCATTATAGAGGACACTGGGAAAAGATAATTCACCAGTGTTCCAAATGCCGACTACAGTTTTTAACTTTCAAGGAGAAAATGGAGCACAAGACCCAGTGTCATCAAATGTTTAAGAAACCGAAGCAACTAGAAGGATTGCCTCCTGAAACAAAAGTTGTCATTCAAGTGTCACTGGGACCCCTTCAGCCAGGATCAGTGGAAGTGGCGTCTGTTACTGTGAGCACATCTGATTCTGAACCATCACCCCCCAGATCTAAAAGTAGAATTCCAAAAAAGCCCTGTTAATTATACTTTCAGTAAATCTGAAGCAAGTATTGCAACCATAGAAACAAAAAATCCAAAACATAACATTATTCAAAAGCATCAAATACGGTGAAACCAATGGATCATTTATGAATTTTTTTTAATTCATGAAATACAATGTTGTTTGATCTTAATTTTGAGATGTTATTTTAAAATATATTACCTGGTTTTCATATAACTGATTTACCACATAAAAGATGTTTGTGTATGTGTACATGAGAGAAAGAAAAAAGTGAAAACCTATTTATTATTTTGGTATTTCATGCTATTTGTAATTTTGAAAGCTCTTCTATATATATAGAATCTGTAGAATTTTTTTTAACAACTGAAGTTTATTTTCAGCTTTTTCCATGCCTTGAAGATTTCAGTATTAACTATAGCCAGAGTGGAATGGCTTTGTCATGGTGTGGTCCTGTGTGCTGCTGAACTCCCAAAAGTGCCTCTGTTGTGCTGACCTGAGATTGCCTGGCTCTGAGAGCCTGGGTGTGGAAAAGCTGGGGGAGAAGCTGCTGCATCAATGGGGCCCAGAAACTGGGAGTTTAGTCAGTGGAGAGCAGTGACTCCTTGTCCCAGTTGAGGAAGAGGCATACATTTACCTCAGACTTGGAGCCAAAGCAGAAGGAACACTGTCTCAAGAGTATCTTTACTTAGTCCAGAACATCCCAGGAAGCCAAACCATTAAAGTAAAATGCCTGTGTTTGGTGAGGGGACCCTGCAGGCATCAAGCAGGTGCTGTGTATCATTGGCTTCAGATGGAGAAGCAGAGATAATAGAATGGAGCCTGGTGCCAGTGGACCTCCTGTTGAGTGATCAGAAGGGGAATTTGATTTGGTCCCTCCTCCCTCCCTCCTGGGTGGTCTTTAGTCAGAATGAACTAGCCACATCTGTTTCAGCCACAGCAGTAAAGGAAGTAAAGGTTCCCATGGAGAAGAAGCCCTGACATCCATAGTTAGAGCTGCCCTGGACCCATAGTTTTAACTGAAAAGGGCCAAACACATGGAATCTGTCCAGTTTATGAACTGGGCTAAAATTAGTTCTCTTATCCTTAATCTGGAATAGGGTTGTCCAAGAACAGTAGTACAGTGGATAAAAATAGCCCAGGGTGAACAAACCCATTATAAGGCTTTTCCTTATATTTTTCCATGTATATGTATCTTACTCTAATTGAACATGTGAAGTTTGCAGTTTTGTATCTGCCTAGGACATGAATGTTATTACAGTTAATAGTTATTCTCTTATGTGTATAATTTCCCATTTTATCGAACTAATACTGAGTTTGGGTCTTGACATACTCAATGTGCAAAATGTCTCATGTCAATAATTATCAGATCTTAGGGTTACTATTCATCATCTACTCTATCCAGCTATCTAATCCATGACTATACTATGGGGGAACCTCTTTCCCTGCCACCTCCAAGGCCTCTTTCTCAGAGCTGTGGAGTGCCCTCTGAAAATTGGTTCCTGTACGTCAGCAGCCTTGGCTGCCTCCGTAGGTTCCTAGAGTTGAGTCTCCGTAGGCGTGTTTTAGTGCCATCTCTTCTTGCTCCACCTCCAACCCAGGTGCCCAGCAGCCTCTGCACCACTCAAGGAATCTGGGATCCTGGCTGTAGACTTGTGCCAGGAGAAATCTCTCCTTTTTTCTCTTGCTTTCTCCTCTTTAAAGGTACTTTATCTCTCCCCACTCCTTTCTTCCCTCCTCAGTCTAGTTAGATTCTCTAAGCTTTCACAAAATGCTGAGAAGTTATGATCATCAAGGGGTTAGCATCCCTCTTAGCACTGAGGAAGAAGGACTACAGATAACAAAGTTGTTGTGTTTTGTCCATTTGTACATAATTTCCAGAGTGTATTTATTTGCTCAGTGCTTAATGATTGATTTGCACTTTGAATGTTTCACTAGGCCTTTCCAGTTAGTTTGCTTGGGCCAAGGCACTTTGCTAAAATTTCAGCTTGAACCCCTTTCTTTAGGTGTAGAAAGAGTATGTTTGTGTGTGTGTGTGTGTGTGTGTGTATGTGTTCTAGTCTTAGGTGGAAACTTTTGTGTATAAATAGATGTGCAGACTTTTGCATACTTATCTCCCTTATTCTGTTTCTATGATAAAAATATGAAATGTTTTAGTTCTATGTTTTTGTGGTTGCTTAGTATTATTAACACTGTTACTGTTTGCTCTTTCACTACAGTGTGCTCCTAAGGAGTACAAGTAGTTATTTATTGCCAACTAAGGTTCCAGTGGTATGGCCCCCGACTACCTCCTCTCTACATTCTCCCATGCTACTCTACCATTTTCCCCACCGCGCACTGTTTTTGATACACTGGCCTTGCTTTTCAAGCAAATCCCATTTCTCCCAATCCAAAGACTTCGCAACTGCTGTTCTCCTTAGAATGCTCTTCCTCTGGGCCTGCATGGCTTGCTACCTCGCTTAGTTGTTTGACACTTCCTTCCTTTGGTTTATCGAGCTTCACCAATGTTGTTAAAATCACACAATGAAATCTCTGCCCTCACTTTCTTTTTCCCTCCTCCTCCTCCTTAAAGGCACTTTAAGTCTCTGCACTCTTCTCTCTCCAGTCTGGTTAAATTTCCTAAGTTTTCATAAAAAGCTGGAAAGAGATAATCATCAAGGCTTTGCTTTTAAGGGCTTTGCTTCTCTCTTAGAATTGAGTTAGCTTGAATCAGTTTCTGTGCCTGCAACCAGAAGACAATGAATAGTGAGTTGAATTCTTTCAGGAGCTTTCTCTGTTTTTCTATTGATACCTCTATATATTTTTAAGGCAATGTCACTTTGTTTTGTTTACAAATATATTGAATATCTGTCAAGATTACTATTTTGTTATTTCTCTTTGTGAATTTCCTTGTCTATTTTGCTTGTTCTTTCAGATGAAATCGATTATTTTATTAATGTTGCCAAAAATTGTAAGTAAAATTAGCAATTACAGGAATAAAATTTTTTTTGAAAAAGTGTTTTCACTATGTTGTCTTTTCACCAACAACATGGCATATTTTTTAGTTTTATCTATATTCTTACTGCATTGGCCAGGATTTCTAAACAATGATGTGTAAATGGGCTGTCTTCTTCCTTTTTTTTTTTCCTTCAGGTTTCAGCACAGTTTTATTGGGATTGTTCTCAGTCTTAATGAGAAAGTCTTTACCATCAAAGGTAATGAGTATATTTCTTAATGAATTTCTATTTCTACCTTTAGAATTTAAAGGGAATTGTTGAATTTTATTGGATGGTTTACAGTATTTGCTGAGACAATCATTTACTTTTTTTTTTAAACCCTAGGTTTTGCTGGACTGTATTCACAACTTCTCTACTAGAAACTGTCCTTTCCTGAAACAAAAATAATTCCATTTGGGATTGAATATTACCCTCTCTACTCAGAGTCTCATTCCATTTCTTATTTCTAGTATTCGGATATGGTCCTCTTCCCCTCATTATATTTGCCACAGTTTTATCAATGTTTCTGATTTACTTTCCCAAGCAATCCTTGCTTTATTCCCCAACTAGTTTTGTTTTTGTTGTTCTCTATTTTTGTCTCAGTTCATTTTCTACCTTCTACTTTCTTTAGGATTATTCTTTTTTATTTTAAAAGCTTAATTTTTTTTCTTTAATAAAGGATTTAGGACTTTGCCTACCTTTATGCACAGTTTTGTCTGAATCCCAAATATTTTGATGCATGTATTTTTTATTATAATTTTCATTCTCTGTACTTTTTTTGGTAAGTTAATTCCAAGGATTTCAGAATTTGCAGGCTGAATGTTTTAGTCTTAATTTATAGTTTACCAAGAATTAAATTTTCCTTGAAGCTTTGAGGGTGGATATGTGTGTGTACATTCACATGTCTGTATACACATCCTTTTCAGATTACTACATAGGCTATTTTAAAAATTGTATAGTAAAAACATGAAATGTTTCAATTCTAGAAATCTATTCCCCCTAAATGAATGTAATTTAAAAGGTGAAGGTATGAAAACATTCACTTGAGAGTAATTCCTACTAACAAAACTTGGAAATGTTAAAAATTAGTCATAACACTTATTAAAGATGGTAAGAAAAACTTTATTCAAGGCAGGAATACTACAGCAGGGTTTTGTAATACAGCTTAACTCTGACTCCAGCAAGGACAAAGGACAGGGAATGGGGTGGGTGTCAGTGGATGGAAACTTACTAGGAGGAAACATCAGGGGTAAGGGTGGATTCTGGCTAAACCAACTTGACGAGATCATTGCTGAGGACAGGCCAGGGTAATAAGATATGAGGGTGAGAGATAAAAGAATTTAATCAGATATCAAGAGCAGGGGATTTTTCCTAAACTGACTCAGCAGGATTCTTGCTAAAATTGGACTAAACAGGCAGAGCCACTGGATAAAGACATAGCCCAAAGTTTGAAGTGTGTTTAACTATTGCTGCACAACAAATTTCCACAAAACTAACAGCTTCAATATTACCTCACACTGTTCTGAGAGTTGGAAATCCAGGAATAACTCAGCTGGGTGATTCCGGCTTGGGTTTCATGAGATTGCCATCATCTGAAGGCTTGACTGGGGCTGGTGGATTTTCTTCCAAGATAGCTTACTCACATGGCTGTTGAAACTCCAGTTTCCTTGCTGGCTGTTGGGAGAAAGGCCTCTCTACTGGGCTACCTGAGTGTTCTTAAGGCATGGCTATGCTGACTTCTAGAGTGAGTGATCCAAGAGAGTGAGCAAGGAGCCTGCAGTATCTTCTATGACCCAGTCTCAGACATTTCACTGTCATTTGCACAACATTCACAATGTTCTGTTCATTCGGAGTAAGCCACTAAGTCCAACCCACACATCAAGGGGAAAGTAATTAACCTCCACCTTTGAAGGGAAGAATTTTTGGACATAATTTAAAACCACCAGGGTACACACTCGGCAGCCACAAATTGTATACGTATCTTCTATGTGCATAGTGTATTCTTCCAAAGCCTCCAAAAGTTGCATCCATTACGGCATTAACTTGAAGTCTAGAATCTTATCTAAATCAGGTCCAGATGTGGATCAGGGTCCAGTTGTACAGCATCTTAACATTGTTCCTCTAGATCTGGAGATGTGAATGAAAGAGATGAGTTCATCTTCCCAGCTACTTCCACACCCAACATACAGTGGTGGGACAGGTGTAGGTAACCTTCATAGAGGTTACTCCTTTCCAAAAGAGAGGAGGGGAGAGGGGAGTATTCAGGAGTCAACAGCAATTCTGAAATCCCACCAGGTACATGTTGGCAGCTTACTGATTAGGATTCAAAGCCTGAAAACTCTGGGCTTCATTCTCTGAATTCTTGATTCTGCCCTCTGACGTGCTTCCCTTTTTATGAAAGGTAGTACATGGTTACAGTGAAAATGTTTTCTTAGCCCGGCCTGCTTCCTGCTTGTAGAGGGCAGAAGTCCGAAGCTGTCTATTTTGTACGCTCTCTGGTCCTTTCAGTCTAAGCTAGGGGCCTTTCTTTAAATGTGTTCTCTTAAAAACTGTGTGTGTCTCCTATTAATCTTATTGGTGTTCATGCCAAATCACTCCAAAGACACAACCACACATCTCTTCAAGATAAGGCCTACTCTATCTTGGTTTTCTGCTGAGATAGCTGAGGGACAACACCCTTAAGCTTTGTAGAAGTCCTGTTTTGTGACAGATGATCTGAGTCACACCCCTAAACTCTGGAAGGCCTTGGCCTGACTAAATGGTCCCGTGAAGCATCACATTCAATCCTTCTGAGGCTTAACAAAGAATTTTAGTCACATTCATCTTTAGACCACCTTTCTTTTCTTTCTCAATTAAAGAATGTTTACTTGAAGTATAATTGATGTGCATTATTTAGACCATGTTTCTTCAGTGCTCTGGATATGATCTTGGCTTGGTACCCATTATTTTAGCATTTTTTGCCATCTTAAGAGACTGGGAAAATTTCAAAACCCGCAAGTTCTGTCTCCTTTTTCGTTTAACAGTCTTTCCCTTAGCTTTTTAATTTCCCTTCATATTGTACTATAGGCAGCAAGAAGAAACCAAGCAACACATTTAGCTGTTTAGCTGCAAGTCTCCTTAGCCAGATCACTCAATTAGGTACAATTTCTACTTTGAGCTAATGAGGTACCTTTTCTACTTCTCATAAAACTGCAGGCGTAGCATTACTAAACTTTCTGCTGCTACATAACCTGTTTCTCAATTTTCTAATAACATGTTCCTCACTTCCTTTTAAGCCATAGCAGAACCTTCTCAAAGTCCAGCTTAAATTTTTTTTAAATAAGTCTTGTGCTAACACTCTCCTCAAAGTCCTTCCAGTTTTGTCCACTGCCCAGTTCCAAAGCCACTCTCATATTTCAGTCCAAGATCAAGGTGCCAGCAGATTTGGTTCTTGGTGAGGGCACTTCTTAGCTTACAGATGGCTGCCTCACATGGCAGAGAGAGGGAGAGAGAGCTCTAGTCTCTTTCTCTTCTTACAAGGACAGTAATTCCATCATAGAAACTCTACCGTCATCTAAACCTAATTATTTACCAGAGGCCCCATCTCCAGATACCATCACATTAGGGGTAGGGTTCAACATGGGAACCCTATCTTGATAGAGGGAAACCTCTAATTTGTCTTTGTATTTACATCCTTCCAGACCAACCTAATACTGTGTGTCACCCAGGATTGGCCCTTAGTAAATGGTTGAGTGAATGAGTTGATGTGTGGGTAGATGGGTAAGTCTGAACCCAAGATATATATCTGTGAAATGAGAGTTTTAGATTAAATAATTATGAATTTCCTCCTAATACTTTGTGGTTAAAAAATTTAAAGATAGGGGCTTCATGTAATAATGAGATAAAATTGGAAAGTGAAAAAGAATGAGGCAGACAAGCAAATAAATCAGAGGTATCTTGAAAATTTGGCAAAATGTCAGAATAAGAGTAGAGTACAATGTTTGAATGATAATCATTTCTTCTATTCTTAAAGTTTTCTTTGTTATAGCAATTTAACTCTCACCTATAGTTTTCTTTAATCTTTGATAGAACTTTGGGTAATAATATATGTTTGTAATCTGTAACATTTAAATTTTATTCAATATTTTATTTATACTGTGCATACAGTAAGCACTTCCATACCTATCTATTTAAAAAGTTTATACTGATACCTCCCGTTTAATTCCAACACCCCTGAATTCAGTCTAGGCTACTTTTCCGTATTATTTCTCCCTTCTCTTTTAGTGAAACACTACCTCCTATGAACTACAATATATTTTTCCCACTTGCTCAATTCTGGAAACATACTCCATGGATTCAGAATTGTCAACTCACACTACTTACGTAAACAAAACTGCTAACTAGCACAGCCATCAGTAGCACTCAGCCTTATCCTTATGCTGGGCCCCTGAGAGGGTGAGCGCAGCTTTGTTTCCAAGGAGGGAGCCTGCAAACTGGGTGGGAGCCTGTGTTTGTTGTTTGTGTCATAAATCATTGTTCAGGGAACTTGGCCAGGTTTCCGCTAGAACTGGGATGGATAGTGACCACTGGGAAGGGGACCACACCAGTGCTGGAGCCACAGGTGAGAGTGACTAGGGGCTCCTTCAAGACAATGTGAGTGGTGATGGGAGATAGTGGGGAAAGAGTGCTCACCTGTTCATTCAATGAAAAATACTGTTTTAATTCCTTTGATTTATTCTCCCTCCAACTTGTAGCTTGTCTTTTGCATTCTAACTGGTATCTTTTGATGAGCAGAAGCTTTTACTTTTTATGCAGTCCAGTTTATCGGTTTTTTCCCTTGTATCCTTGGTACCTTTGTGCCGTTTCTATGCCAAAGTTAGGAAAATATTCTTTTATTATTCTCCTATTGTGTTTTTCTGTAGAACTTTTATTGTTTTGGTTTCACATTTGATTCTATGATCCATCTTGAATTAATTTTTGTCTGTCGTGGGAGGTAGGGAGTCCGAGTTTCTCCCCCACTTCAGTTTTTCTAAAA